CCCGAATTCTCATGAAGCAATCTTAGGGGCGTTTAGGTTGCTGAATAAGCTGGACGATTGGCAGCCCGGATCCGCGCGAAGAGCGAACAACGCCGCCTCGCGGCGACTCTGAATCTTATTTGCTGCACTATTTCAAACTCAGTTTGTGCGTTCCCTTCGGGTAAGCATAAAAGCCCCATAATCGCTCAATTGAGGAGTTGTGGCGATTGCAGAACCCTTTCGACTACGCACGTAGGTCGAGTGTTTATACAAATGCTCGTTATTGTTGGTTTGCTGCTCGGCGCGCGTCGTTTTCGTGTAGAAAATGATTTTACCGTTTTGCCTGTTTCATGCCCTGGCATTATTTTCGAAGTTATCGCGTGCCATAGATGGCGCAACGAGTCCATCTACGTAGCATTTTCAAGTAATTAAAAAAAAAATGGTCGGCTCGCTGACCTAGACTGCTGCGCGGTGCACAGTTCGACACGCTAGCGTAACTCACTTCAGTGTGGTCAACGATAGTTCGCTGAGTGAAGGTCGGTAGCAGTCTAGCCCTGCAATCGTCACTGCCGCTGCAACTTCTCGTATCCATCTTAACGCACCTATGTGATATGTTCTCATGTTTGCCATTATGATTATCACTTGATAGTTAGAGGATATATATATATATTAGCAGAGAAGAGTGCATTTGTGCATATTGCGATGGCCATATAGGGTGCGACATTTCATATTCCATCCATCGATATATCATGCCACTGTATTGTAGTGCATACAACTGTGAGTGTGACGTTGTTAGATCGAAAGAGTCAAAATCAGCAAAGATTACTTATTTCGGTTCAAGGATAGAGATGATGTCCAGTACGGTGATTGGATAGGATGATGTTAGTTGATAAGATAGGACTGGACATCTTATCTATCCCTGAAAAAGGATAGAGATGATGTCCAGTACGGTGATTGGATAGGATGATGTTAGTTGATAAGATAGGACTGGACATCTTCTCTATCCCTGAGCCATTATTTCCATCGGTGAGATAACATTTCAATAGTATTGTAGAGATTTCGGTTACACCGAAGACTCTATTTACAAACCACAACACACGACAGGGCGCGGCCATTTTGGAATAACTGAAAACCTGAATCGGAACACAAGGTTACACACAAATTCCACTTAAGAAATTTATACACAAAATAAAATAAGGGAAGAGTCGAGCCACAATAAAATACAGGTTAAAAGGATCAAAACAAAATAAATAGAACAATAATTAGAATGGAATACAAATGGAAAAGTACTCGGCTAGTTTCAGCTAGCAACAGGTCTAAATACAGAGCGTAATATAAAACACATGGCCACATCAAGGCAAAGAGTACACCGGTATGAACCGGTACAGAAGCGATGCCAGCTGGGGAACACCCCTGCTTGTTGCTAGGAGAAGGGGGTGGATCGTACACGGCCAGGTAGCAACCAGGCCGTATATAAGGCAGCCGAAAAGTAGGAGAAATCAGAACGCCGGGGCAGCCACCCCTAGGAGCACCAAAGACACGAATCACTACAGACACGGAGCACTAAAGACACGGATCACTACAGACACGGAGCACTAAAGACACGGAGCACTACAAAGACACGGAGCACTACAAAGACACGGATCACTACAGAGACACGGATCACTACAGAGACACGGATCACTATACAGACACGGATCACTACAGATACGGATCACTACAGACAGGATCACTGCACGGAGGCAGACGAGGAGCACTGTAGGGAGTGACTAGCTCACCCCGGAGAAGGCAGATAGAAGAATGAAGATAGAAGAAGGAAGAGAGAAGATAGCAGAAGGAAGATAGAAGAAAGAAGAAAGAAGAGGGAAGCAGAAGATAGAAGAAAGAAGATAGAAGAAAGAAGAAAGAAGATAGAAGAGGGAAGAAAGAAGATAGAAGACAGAAGAAAGAAGAAGGAAGAGAGAAGACAGAAGAAAGAAGAAGGAAGAAAGAAGATAGAAGCGAGAAGAAAGAAGAGGGAAGAAAGAAGAAAGAAGACAGAAGAAAGAAGAAGGAAGAAAGAAGATAGAAGAAAGAAGAAGGAAGAAAGAAGATAGAAACGAGAAGAAAGAAGAAGGAAGAAAGAAGATAGAAGAAAGAAGAAAGAAGAAGGAAGAGAGAAGAAAGAAGAAGGAAGAGAGAAGATAGAAGAAGGAAGAAAGAAGAAAGAAGAAGGAAGAAAGAAGATAGAAGACAGAAGAAAGAAGAAAGAAGAAAGAAGAGAAAAGATAGAAGATAGAAGAAAGAAGAAGGAAGAGAGAAGACAGAAGAAAGAAGAAGGAAGAGAGAAGACAGAAGAACGAAGATAGAAGAGAGAAGACAGAAGATAGAAGAAGGAGGTAGGAAGAAAGAAGACAAAAGATAGAAGAAAGAAGGCAGAAGATAGAAGAAAGAAGACCGAGGACAGAAGAAAGAAGAGGGCAGACGGACGACAGAAGAAAGAAGAAGGAACGAGAAACGGCGCCACGCAGAGAGGAGAGAGGGGAACGCCGACAGCAGGTGCCGTTACGTCTTATTCTCACTCCTGACAATCTCAATAGATACGTCAGGTTCACGTTCACGCCGAAGCACCTATATTTTTGCACGTAACCGTTCACTGGCCTTATGCCATAAAATATTATTGTTACGACAAATAGTACGTCACGCAGTCACAGCACTCATAACGCCTCGGGTAACTACCAGATACGATACTGCATAACTGTAGTGTGTATATGAGCAATAAAGCTACCGGTTCCGTATATTTAAGATCTTGCGTTGTGTTTATTTGCCTCGATTTTGTTTGTCTCCTGCTGCCACGCAACACAGTCCCGCTTTGCCACCGGGAGCAAGAAATGATCCCGCAAAAACAATAGTGCATTCACACGCACATAATTCGCGTAGCGGCTACCCCTAGGGCCACTACAGTATTAGTAAACATAATTTTTATAGTTGTTAGATAATCCACACCTACGAATACTTCTATTACTACAAGTACATATGCTACAATAATTACTAGTAAGTACTACTACTAGTACTACTAGTACTAATAAGTACTAGCACTACTAGTACTAGTACTAGTTACTACCAGGACGGCAGGAGCTAATAATGACTAACTCTGTTACTAGTAAACTACTACTAGTACTATACTAGACTACTACTACTAGTACTACTACTACTAGTTACTAGTATAGTACTACTACTACTACTAGCTCCAAGAAACGCTCTTTGCTAAGGTTAGAATACCCCTATACTAGAAGGCTGTATACCTCTATACCCCAATACCCCTATACTACAGGCACTTGAAGCATTTCAATAAAATATAATATGCTAACTAAATACGAAATCGATTTACTACCAAATTCTTAATGTTTCTAGTATAGGCCTACTCTCTTTCGAGAAGGTTGCGAGGTGCAAAGGCTATATAGACTGGGACTCGCTCCTACCTCGACGATCTGCAGCCGGATATCCGCGCAATCGAAGCGAGAACAATGCCGCGGAGCGGCCAATTTTATCGGATTCGCTGCCCTGTTTAGAACACTGTTTAGACAGTGCCCTTTGGGTATAGGATAAAGCGGTATAATCGGTCAATTGAGCAGTTGTGGCGATTCCACAAGCCTTTTCAGTATATGCACGTAGGTAGAGAGTTAATACAAATGTTCGTAATTGCTCGTTTGCTAGTCGGCGCGTTTCGTTTTCCTCTAGAAAAGCGAGTTTGCATTTCTTCCGTTTCACGCCGTGAAATTATTCTCGTACATATGGCGTCCCATAGATGGCGCGACGAGGCCCTGTACGAGGCATTTTCAAGGTATTTTTTCACACAAGGGTCGGCCATTGAGCTAAGACTGCTGCGCGGTGGAGAGTTCCACACGCTGCCCTAACTATAAGTTGAGTGTAGCGAAGGATACTTGGCGGAGTGAAGGTCCGTACCAGTCTACCTGCAATCGTCACATGCGCTTCAACTTAGCGTATCCATCTTAGTACCCCCGATGGTCTGATGTTTCCAATGATGACGTAATAGTTCGAGCATGTATATATAGCAGAGCAGAGTGCATATAGCATAGCCCTCTGCATAGAGCATAGAGAATATATAGTTTCGGATTCATACATAGCCATCGATCTTGCATGCAGCGATATATCATGCCACGCTGTTGTAGTGCATACAAGTGTAAGGTTGTTCCATGTGAAGAGTGAAAAGCACGAAAGATTACTTTCCATCGGTGAGACAACATTGATATAGGCCCAGTCATCGTCTAGTTGTTACATAATGTTGTTCTTGACAGTTGCCATTGCCGTTAAACGATAGAGATTTGTTAACATTTGTTAGCGCAAATAATAGTATAGTGTCGAATGATATATTATACGAAGGTATTATATACCCGACCGTCGTGTACCGAGTGATGCAAAATGGCATTGCGACCACGACTGTCGGGTACCGAGTGATGAAAATCGCATTGCGCGCACAACCGTCGAGTACCGAGTGATCGAAATCGTCGAATGCAATGGTGGTATTATACAGCTGGGAAATTCTGCACGATGAAAACGCAATGAAAAAGCATGTCTAACACACTTCTTCCCATTGTGCTCGAACATAACATTGTACATACTCTAAATTCTAGCAAATATATGCTACACGCATGATCAATATGACAATTTATTAAATTGTGAAATTATGATTCATTTTTTGTGCAAGGGGATGACTCTCGCCAATTTTATATGTCTAATTGTTGGATTGAGCAATCATTATTTCATCATATCTGTAAATGGCTCGCTGAGACGAACGCTCCTAAAATCCATCCGTCTGGTAAATTCATCCCTCCTGTAGCCTTTAGTCGTCGACTGTATATGCAATGCTTTTTCTATATGGAAAAGTACCACAGCGTACGTACAGCGATCATATACACCGGCGTGCGTTTACAATGATAATTATCTTTAGTCAAGCTCGCGTTTTTCTTCTTTCAAAGCCAAAGTGGGCCACAGCCGATAGGCAATTTTTGCATGTATTAGATGGTGCCAGCGTGCAGCAAAAACTTCGTCTACCCCTGCGCTTAGCATACGTAGACGGACGCACGTACGCACGCCCGTACCTACTTATACAGGCAGCCAAGCACGCAAGCACATAGCTAGCTGTAGTACTACGAACCAGACAAATACGCACACACGTGCGTATACATGTATGAACGCACGCAGTCACACACCCACGCACGTACGTACGCACGCAGGCCGGCACAGACATTTCTATGGGTGCATGTATGTGTTTGTATGTGTGTGTGTGTGTGCGCCGCTGAGTGCGTGCGTCAGTGTTTTGAAAATGTTCATTAGGAACAATTTTTGAGAAGTCAAAAAAATCCGTTTCCTCAACAAAATTATTTTTTAGCCTGGCCACAAGTCATGGCATAAGATAAGTATGTCATCTAACACGCACAATTCACAGATCATATCAGGAGCTATTCACCTATTGACAATATTTGTGATTATTACGTCGTCATTGTTTGTATATAGGTGAACATTTCTATTTACATGAATAGAGGCGTATTATTTCCGCATGTATTATTATAAAACCCAGCTTATGTATCCGCTGCAGCTGCCGCTTCTTACATAAAGCCGCTGACACATAATAAAATACAATTCATAATAAAACTTATACAACACAGTGTAGAAGTAGAAGGTGTTGACACTTTTATTGATATTTTTATTGAACTTGCAAAGAACAGCAGCTCAATGCAGCTGAGCTGTTTCATTGTATTCTCGGTAAAATTATCGACTGCTCGCTGGCAGCTATGGATTCGTGCGCCGACCTATGCATTCGGCGCACGGATCCATAGCTGCCAGCGCTGCATACTGTCGTAGGACGTGCCCGCGGTCGCGTGCGCCTTGCCGCGGAACTGCGCGCAAGATCTGTTCGCATCACTTCGGATCAACACCTCCTTTCGGCAACGCTTCTCTAGTATCCCGTCTCATCTGGTTCTGTTGTTCGTCCTATTACGCGCCAAAACTACATGTGCAAACCACATGTTATGTATTTAATCTACCCTACTACACGCTGCGCCACCTATTGTTCGTAACCTATATGTTAACTGGCTATTACCCCAACCTAGGCTATTTACAGCTAAATCTATCTAATGTGCAAACATGTGCAAAACACATGTTACATTTACCTCCCCTTCATCAAAACGATGATCCCATCATCGATTTCAGCGCCCCGCTGATCTAAATTTCCTCCTTAACTCCTTCATACCCCACTATATCTAACACACCCACACATACACACACACACACACACACACACACACTCACACACACCACCTGTTCCTGACGAATAGAGCCTGACATCAAAATAAAATTCCGTCCTTCGTCCATCATACCGTCGACCATACTAATACAATAACTCTTTTATTGAACACATCCCCACATAATAAAAAAATTTTTTTTACAAAACTTCACACAAAACCTATTACCTATGGTACCAAAGCCAGTAACATGGTATTACAATCCTATGGCTGAACACCGCCGACCAATAAAATCTCACTGACCACTCTTATATAATTCCATACTTGACACGAATTGCCAAATAAAACTATCTATTCAAACAAGACAATTCCTGAAACCCTGAAAATAGAAAACGCAACACAACACAACAACTCAATAATATACCATAACAATGCATAACCTGAAATACAAAACACCAGAAATACTGAATACCATAAACACACTACAATACAGTACAATATCCTGAAATACAAAACACAACA